TACGTGCACAAGAAAACGAAAGAAAGGTGTAATATTGCATAACCTCAATATATTATTCACATAAGATTGTCCAAGATCATAATGTGAATGAATCTAACTGAAACACACAGTTTAAACATCAGTGTGATTATTACCCTCTCAAAATTGTTAGGTAAAAGTAAAAACGATCAAATTATTGAATATGCCAACTTATTGATGAAGATTATTGACTCAGGAAGGTGATTTGTATGTTGTTAAATGTACTAATTTTGGCAGCTAAATAATGAAGCCTGCAATACATTTAGAAAAAAATATGTTTCTTGATAAGTAGCTAAGATCCATTTGTTCACAGGAGACTGATCTAAGTAGACATGAGCATGTTTTTAAATTAATTTAGAGATAAAAAGGATTTACTTTTACGACATGAACCATTGTTTATATATTTCCAAACATCAATCACTCCATATAAGTAGTCACTACACTTTTGTGGCTCATTGGGCATTGCAAACACCGAAACTGCACATCCATAATACCCATCCCACTAGTATTTTTGTTAACGTTGCTTAGTTGTTAATCATTTGTTTATAGGCTTTTATGCTGGGATAACTTGTATTGAAATGTAAGTACATATTTATGCATTAAATAAATTCTTATCAGTTCTTTTCCTCAATCGTCGTCTTTGTCTTCATCTTTTGATTAAGAGTAAGCAGTTTACCCAGTTGAAGATCGTCAATCAAACCAAGTTAAGTGTGAATAAGGGGCTTGCATTTCTTTTCAGTGTTCCTTATCTCAAAAAATGGTAAATTTCGTTTAGTTCATTTTCAAAAAGATGTTGTTTACTTACAATATGATTTAATGCAGAAAAAAGTAATTTATTTAATTCTTGTAGAAGCTGGTATCGATCACTTGGACGTTTCTGTATCCCAGAGAGAATTTGAATTATCCTTATCATTCAATGTTCAACATTTGCCCGCCATGTTTTTAAATGTTGTCACTTCTAGAAGTTCAGTACTAATTAAGTTAAGTCTGATAGTCAAATCATTTGAGTCAGAATCAGTATTTCATTCCGTGGCCAACGGAATCTGCTGATTCTTTTTCTGGTGTGAGAGAATTATTATTATTCCATATGTTACACAGCGAAAAATTATCAACAACTGGATGGCGTTTCGTATACAGTTTACTTCACATGATCACCTCAGCGTAATCAACTGTCTTTCTATTTATGTTTTATAGTTCGTCAATTTTTCACTCTTCAGTTTCATTTGAAATGATATTTTCCAAATGGAAAACTGATATAAATCATTCTTATTAAACATATTAGTTGTCGACTTGATATTCAAAGTTTACGTTATCAATCTTTTACTCCACCTAACTAGATTGGTTTTAAGACTGTCACTCTATCTAACCCTGCTGTGTGACTATATGATTGGACGTCTGGTTATAACTGAGCTCCTTTCGAGTTTCCTCATTTTGCTAAAGTCTACTACTCTACCTTTATTTAGGTTTTGATTTTTTCATTATCTAACTGATTCCAGTCGGCTAGTATATTACCTTTGTATTTAACTTCAGAGCCACTGTATGGAAGGCGGTAGACCGAAATGTTTTATTTATTAGGTTCAGCATGATTATTTAGCTCTTAAGTTCGCCGCTACTACTAAATGAGTAGAAAACTAAAAGAGGTAAAAGTACACAAAACACATAAGACATTTTTAAAATTGACTTGATAAGACTTTGAGCAATAAATTGTGCTTTAAACGTCATTCTGTTAATAAAACTGTTTCACTGCTTGATATATCTATTAAGTGAAGTAAAATGAAGCCGATTTTTTAGTTTGAATGTGAATGGTCAATAAATCGTTTTTAATTTTCCATTTGCAGTCACTACACAGACAGCTTCGTTTCAGTTTAGTATCGGAATCAATGGGATTTCGATCAACGTTCAATACTATTTCCGGAATTCGAATTCTCATGATTTATTTTCTTTAGATAATTAGTACTCTGAGCGCACATGCTGTAAGCCCGTACTGTAATTATGATGACGATGACAATGAGGTTAATAAAAGTTAAGGGAGATTTTTTCCTCACTGAATTGCAAGACGTATCTGTATGCCGCTTACAACTATTGAATAAATCCAATGTTCTTGATATCAAAAATTCACGCAAGGTCAAAGTTTAAGTGATAAAGTATTGTAATTCTTTCGGGTCTTGTATTCAAAAAATTTCCACACTAAATTCACTTAGCATGGCTTTTCATAATTACAAGTTAAGTGGTATCTATGTTTCGGAAAAAAACTATGAATACACTTCACAGTACTCAAACCTTATAAATGCTGAAAATTTATTCTGAATATCCTCCTGTGTGCAAGAGAAGCACAGTGGGTTACTTAGTGGATCTATCACATTACAGGGAAATGAAAAAGACACGGGTAACAGTGACAAAAAGCAGTGGGAAGGCTGAGATATATTACGGCCTGAAATCATATTACACGCATCACTACCTAGTTGAGCATTTTGATTAGCTCATACACTTTAGCTGCTGGTGTCGTTCACTAATATCAGTCAAATAATTCTGTCTCCGTAGATCTTACTTTTTTTTGGACAGTGAAAATGAAACCATTTTGGACATTTTATCTCAGCAGTTGTTTAAAAATCCGAAAATTGATACATTTACACATGTTGAGGAAAAGAAGCATGACATTGTGAAGTATATGACAATATTTCGAAATCTTTAAAACAACTGCGAATCTAAATAGGGGTTCCGTATAGTCCTCTTTTATGTATGAAAATGAAAACTGTACTAACTTGTTCCAGAGGGACAGTGAAAATGACATATTCAGGATGAAGAACTAAGATTCGGTAGACTTCGATTGAACATTGAAGTATCACCACGCAGCGTGCTTGAACCTTGGGCTACCAAATCTACCCATCGAACATTTTTCATTTAATTTTTCTTTTCAATTTGTTTATCATCTACATATGTCCTCTGAACGTATCATGTACTGTTGCACATTGTTAACTGTTTCCAACTCTCTGTTTCCCGAGTCAATAAGAAAGCAGAGGGAAAATGTTACGTCATATGGAAGTGTACTTTTCGGTTCAAGAAGTAACATCATATTTCTATCCGTCAGATGCTTAGCTTGAGTTGCGGATTTTTGAACCGTCTCAATGAGCTGCTACCACCAAAATTACGCTTGCATTTCTGTTGATCCTTTATTATGGACCGGATGCCCATCCAGAACCAGTTGGCTGTTTCAAATTGTTGCCTTGAATACTGTTATTATCAACATCATTCCGATGCAATAACTATTTCGTCTGAAAGTATTGTTCTGGGAAAGAATTTGTTGAAAAATTACATGCTGAGAATTCCATAGTCTCATACATATTGTTTGGAATAAAGCGATTATTATTATTATTATTGTGCAGACAATATTATCATGATAAATGAAGATATTGAGAACATGCAGGGTCTTCCGAACCCCTTGAGCGAAACTTTATTTGGATTGCGCTTGGAGAAGTTGGATTAGGTTGGAAGAGCGTTCAGGGTGGTCAGATCAAGACCCGGCACCAGTTGATGAAGTTCCTGACTGTTGGCTTTGGCCGTGTGAAGAGATGTAGACTGTTTGGTTGGGGCCTCTGAAACTGTAGGAATCAGTGGTTGAGGGGTCTTGGTGACATGGCTGAAAATCGGTCACTATGGTGCAGATGTATTCACTCTTCAACATCTTCTAGAGCTTAAATATTCCCACTAACCTTTATTTTCATATTACTGATTGTCTCACACAACTTTGTCTACTTTGATATCACTTTTGGCATCCGGCTGTTCTTTGTGAACTACTGTAAAGTGTAGCAATTTGAGCCGATCCACTTGTGTGCGAGGTTTCCCGCTGATTTTGTCAACTATCAGTCATAAAACGTTATATTGACTGCTCTAACTAGGCATTGTAATAGAATGCCACCTAGTGAGTATTCTGTAGAACAAGTTACATACGGTGTACGAGTTGATCTTTAGATACGACAGCGTTTACCAACTTAGTTCGGAAAAGATGAAGTGAAAATGGTGAAAAGTTCTATCTTAGTGCACCTAGTAGACACAGATGCTAATCAAGCCTTCAATTTCATAAACTGGGTTTCAAAAACAATACTAAGTGTAGTTCACTAACGCCTGGTCAATATAGCCGAGACTGTCGCAATAAAACTGATCAAACCTAAACGTTGGGTTCAGAAGGATGGTGTTCAGACGTCATCCCATCCTTGGCCTTCAGTAGACCAAAAGTCACTCCTGTCTTTTTTATTCTTTCTTCTTTTTTGCCATTACATAATTCATATGTATATATGTCATCCCAGTATTCACCAATTTAAGAAAGGTCGATTCTTTTACAGTCTCTGAATGTGATTCCATTTTGAAAATGTACTTACCGCTAACTTGCTTGATTTTACGCTGTACAAATCCACTTTGTGATTGTAGGACCTGATCAGAATTAATTGAAAAGAATATTTTTCATTCAGACTGTTGCTTTTTATCAATTTATATCACGTTCACTAAGTTATGCATACTTGATTTTACAAAGTTGATCTTATGTAGAACTTCCGGGGTGTTTACTGAAAGTAATCCACGATTATTGCTCTATATTCCATTAAACGTCTTATTTTATTTACTTTACTTAGTTTAGAAGCTTACTTTTTGATTGAAGTGGTGTTCTGAATGACTCTGAAATTTCAAAAGCACTTCAGAAATTCGTGATCACTGATTTTTACAAATCCATCCATTCGTGTAATTGCATATATAACTATGTAATTTTATGTAAGCTTCTGGATGATCTTGTTCGTTTTGAATACTTTTCATAACCCGCGCTAATTGGTTGTTTTGGGAATAAGATGTTGTGTGTCTTTAACCCCCTATTAATTATGCAAATATTGATTAGAAATCACCTATGGTTTTCGACTAAATTTTCTGTTTCAGTGTATTTAGAGTTGAAAATTTAGAGATGTGCAGGTGTTTCTGAAATCAATGTCTCAAGTGAAATGTTCTGGTTATACGATTTAGCTGACGCGGATCGATTAAAATTACCTTTGGAAATGTATGAGAATCATAAAGCTGCTATCATTGTTGTAGATATGGCGTAAGTGAGTTGCATCTCTTATACAGACTGCATTTCAATATTTGCTGCAGCTAATCTACGAGATATAGATCTCTGAGTTAGTCGTTATCAAGCTCGAAACTGACGTGTGCCTTAAGGATTGATAGACTTCAGGGTGATTATCCGCACGAAGTTTTCATTCATTGAATGTTTATAGAGTTTTGGTTCATTAAGAGAAAAAAGGCATTATTAGCTGTGAAGCGTCTATGGTTTTATCGTTATTTCTATTCAGATTGAAGTTTGTTTTTTTCCATCCATTCATAGTTGATGAGAATCAAAAAAACCAATCACCGATCCGTGGCTAATCACCGTTTGTTTGATTAAGTTATACGAAGTTATACAAATGCAAAAAACTTTAAATAATATGAATGTGAGCTAAATAGTTAATCATGGATAAAACAGAGGTCTGTGGACTTTGGCAAGTGTATTATTATGCTTCATGTTGGATTTCCTTTTTGATAATTTTGCTTCTATAGATCCTGTGTTAATGGTTTTTTCTAATGAAGCGAGTAAATTAGATAAACAATCTGAATTTATTTGTTTCATTTTTAGGGGGTTGATGAAGACATTCAAACGGTGGAATATTATGTCAGAATTATATATAAAACAATCAAAGCTTTATCCTCTTTTCCTGTGTAAACCTTTCCTTTTTATATGTGCATGCCATTGCCTGCGTCAACAATTTTAGGTGAGCAAAATAAAGAACTGTGTAATTAGCGTAAAATAAGGTCAAACCATGGTCACCATGAAAAGTGAGATATTGACCACACTTTCCTTTTGTATGCAGAGGTCCTGTTGAGAGCATTTTTACAGAAATCGCCGATTTGGCGAGGCGTAGGTTTCTAGGCATTCCATAGTATATTTATTCAAATTATCAATCAAGTGGTCGGGGGTTGGTGAACAATAATCACCAATATTAAGTAAGTCATGAAGACGATATTTTAGAAATTAAGATGTAAATAATCAATGGAGTTATGAAAATCTGGAATATGAAGCAGGTCGTTCTTAAGTAAATGAAGTGATTCTTGATGAGTGTTCAAACATAACCAATAAGTGATTGCATAATCATAAGAAAACAACTGAATATTGATCGAAGCAAGAAGGGGAAGATGTGTACAAAGTAATACTAGGAGCTACATCATATTGACGGCCACGGTAATGAAAGTGATCGAAAAAACTTCTTTTGAATACAAAGGTTGGGCTTGTAAGGGTAGACTGTAATCGCCTCTGCTACGTGAAGTAAGGCAGTGCGTAATTAGTTGCAATGTGATAAATGATTCTGAAAGCTTTCCTAGTATCCGCCTGATATCTTGTACCACCTAGGTGTGCAAGTATGGAGCTCTTTATTGTTCTTATTTGTCCCTTGCTCAACCATGATGGGTGATGCTCAGTAATTTGACGATGAACCTGCCTCATTGTACATCCAACATAACTAGTTCTATGAAACCATATGACCAACTAGTCTTGAAAATAAACCAATATGACAAACTGTTCAAACAGAAAGCTAACAGAGATGGAACAAAGAGTTCTGAGCAAAGGAGTGAATTTTAATTTTAGCAACAAAAAACTAAAATTAGGTGTTATTATATATGGCATTAAAGCAACACTAGAAATATGCGATCAACAAACGACCGAATCGGTATGAGCACAGTGCGCCATAACATTAAAGAAACAAAGAACAGGAAAATCCAATGTCATTAAGGAGGAGTTGATAAAACTCAGAAGCTAAAAGCAGGTAAATTTGTGGTAAATGCTGAGGCAGACAAGAAAAATGCAACGGTAATTCTCAAAAGAACCAAATGTGATGAAAAAAATGAATGAACATCCACATCCACATCCACATCCAAACCTTATTCCACAATAAACAAACCAGTTAACACAATCGAGAATAAAACTATGAAGAAAGTGTCAAAAGTGGTTAGACAAATGAAACAAACCATCGATAAGTCTAAATGGTTTGAAGTCATGCCTTAAGTCTTCTGAGATGCCTTGAATGTATGGAATGACAAAACTACATAAAGAAGAGTGTCTAATGAAGCCGATAATAAATTTCAGAAACACACTGACATATATATGTTATCAAGGTTTCCAGCTAACATACTATGACCAATAAGAGACACGTCGCAAGCAAGACTGAAACACTAAAATTAGTGAAGAGTATGCGCTAGTCTGCTTTGATATAATCAGCTTCTGTAAGAAAATACCAATAACGATAGCTACAGAAGCATTGAGGACAAGATTAGAAAAGGGGGATGATCTGTGGAAGATATATTAAAGGGAGTGGAATACTGTTTAACAACAATCCACCTCACATTTGAAGGGAAGTTTCATCAACAAAATGAAGGAATAGCCATGGGACCACTCATTTCACCAATAACAGCCAACATATTCATGAACTTTTGGGAAGAAAACGTTCTAAATTCATACCTGTACTCAATCAAAAGTTGGTGGAGATATGTAAATGACACACTGATCATAGTGAAGGGAGATTTTTACAGTTCTACAGACCACAAAAACAGTCATATATACTTCAGTAAATTCACTATGGAAATAGAGAGTGAGTTAGGAGAACTACCAGTGTTAGACTGCGAAACATAAAGAATGACAGATGGAGGTTTAAATCCACGCATTCAGGAATATTTCTGGATTACTACTCACCGCATTCACTTAATGTAAAAAAAGAGATTAATGCAGAGTCATGCACTCTTCTTCACTTCTTTGTTTAGTGTTTTGTAGGTTGTGTTCAGTTCCTCTTTTCGTTGTTCATCCCTGCACTACACTGCACTGGTTCATCTTCTGCCTCACCATCCTCCTCTACCTGCTCCATCAGCTTACATGTGTCCATCGAGATCCATTCCTTATCTTCTTTCTTCTTCCTTCCTAATACGGTTATGCAGGTTTCTTTCCATATCTCTTTCAAAGAGTTCCGGTGTTCTTCCACGCAGGTTTCCTCGGGGATATTGCTTAATGTATTCCATTTTGTTCTGATGGCTGACGTGAAGATGTCATTTGTAGTTTTGTCTTTCATTTTCTGTTCTGGGTGTTAAACTTGAACTGTGGCCTATCACCTTCTTCTGTGAAGGCTTTCAACTTGATTTTGAAGGTTCCTTGCACTAGATAGTGGTCTGAACCTACATCTGCTCCTCTTCTTGATCTGATCTTGTGTCTAGTAGGCTGCATCTCCACTTTCTTGAGATTGAGATAAAGTCGATCTGAGTTTTTCTGTGTCCCGGTGTCTGGTGAAGTCCATATCGCTTTATGAATATCATTGTGTTTTTACACACTGCCTCCAATCACCAAATCGTTGAATGCGCGGAAGTCTGCAAAAAGTTCTCCATTCTCGTTTATTTCACCGAGTGCTTCTCGACCCATGGTTAGTCCTCTTTCTGTGTCGTCCGCCCCAGTTTGGCATTCATGTCACCCACTAGAATTCTGATGTCTCCAACTGGGGTGGTGTCTTGTCCAGTACTGATTGCAGTTGTCTGTAGAATTCCTCTTTCTTCTTTTGATCCCCATTATTTGTAGGTGCGTAGCGTTGAATGATTGTGAATTTCCTTCCTTTTGAGTTGAATCTTGCTATCATGATCCTGATCCTGGAGGAGACTGGTTCCCACTGCATGAGAGCCTTCGATGTTCTAGGGGACATCATGATAGCCACTCGAAAACTCAGTGTGCTCGTGGTTGTCGTCTGGGTGACAATATCGGAGTAGATTATTGATTCTCCAGTTGACAGTTTGGAGAGTCCACTCCCATTCCATCTGCTTTCGCAGATTCCTCGCACTTCAAAAAGATACCTTCCCATCTCTTTTGCAATCTGGGCCGTCTTGCTAGGTTCATACATGGTGAGGACATTCCATGTCTCCATTCTTATTTTCGCTTTCATCGAGAGAAGAGTAGACAGATTGACCAATTGGTTTCCCGATGTCTTTCACCAACCGGCGTCATTTCGTCTCTCGATTCCAGAGGGGAATAATTTTGTTTTTACTTTTTATATTTTGTTTGTGCTTTGAAGTTTGTTTAGCGGTTGGATTGGTTTTATGACGTAGGGTTGCTAGCCCCATGCTCAACCTTCCCTCTTTATGCGGGCTTAGGACCGGCTAGTAACTAGTGAACTAGTTAACCAGGCGAGGTTATACTTTTCATAGACGAACTAAAATGTTTCCCCACCCTATTTTTGTTCCACCTTACTCGCACAACTAAAATACGCTTCTCTGAACGATTTGCTTATTCACTCACCTGTGGTACATCGATCTTTGCTCCATATCACTATGTAATTGGATGATTGCAAAGGTCACCATCCTCTGTACCAAAACTTGAATATTAACCTGAAAACTTAATGTCACATTCATACTCTTGAGAAGGATCATCCTAGCAAGATGGAAACGTTGAGGAATAATACAAAATATTTGTTTATTTTGTTATTTGTTCTAATATACTACTCCGGGATTACACAAATAAAAATACACCTTACACTAGGACTTTTTTTCTGCCGTTAGATGACTGAGTGCTGACCAAGTTCTGTCCACCGTTATGTTCCATGAAAGCCCACCATGACAATGAGCGTCCTAGCTTCTTAGCCACGTTGCAAGATCGTTGGTAGAATCCGGTCAGTGCTCAGGACTAGAAATATGGAATCGGTTGCTTTCCAGCGAGCAATCACTGTATCTAATTTGGTCCTACAACAGGTCAATCGTAACCTAGATACATCACTGGTAACGTTACTGACTGCAACACTGGGTGAAGTGGGTTCTCATCTCAAAGGGAATATAACTTTCTTCTAGTTTGCAGATACGTCTTGCTGACGAGTTCTAACAAGCATGAAACATAAGTGAAGGACTTCCTGTCGATCATTTTCAACCATATATAACTTTATAGTCGGTAGATCATAATTGAATTTCCTGTATGATTTGGGCAGGTGTTCAATAAATTCCTTCGTCAACAGAAATTGCATAAGCCTGTTCTTTTTGAATTTAATGGTCACT